CTATTTATTTATTTATTCTTTATTGCACCAAATATATGTACAAAAGGTTATCGTTGTACGCTGTGTGTATTTCCATAAATTAGTTTATTGATGTTGAAAAAATAATACTACGTTCGTACCTACAATAGGTGGCGTCTTACATATTCCGCCGCCGGCTAAATGCTCAAGGTCGTTCGCATGGAGTAGCCCCTTAACTGCGCATGCGCGACTTTACTAACACTCGCGCTTTCTTCTTAATAACTGGCTTTACGGCTCTGGGATCTAGCCCTTCTGAGCCTGAAGTTACAATATATTATAATATCCTTCATAGTATACTGCTTCACAATATGTTGATGCGTCACATTGTGCAGCCCTTGAGAGATTTTGACGGCAACTTGAGCCAGCAGACAGCTGACGGTTGGCGATGGTATCTCAAGGCGCCTAAGCAGACAGACACCTTATTTTGAGAATCATATCACCATCAGAGCACTTGTTTTACAGTTTCCACTAATAGTTCACATGCGCAGACACTTAATACACAAAATCGCACCACTTTTACATATCAAAGTCCACTTCAAACCATTATCTAAACAAGCAAACTGCCGCTGGTCAAATTCCCGCCAAAACCAACACTCGCGCATGCGTAGTATAGTACATTTTATGGCATTTAATTTTAACTTCTTTTTTTTACTTTTATATTGAATTCGAAATGTCGACGTCACCATAATATTTTCTTTCCATTGTTCAATCCTTTTTCCTACCTACATGTACATTCTTCGATTATCGAAAGTGAAGGAAAGAACAGCATTGTTCTAATTCTAAGAGTCATACATAAATCCTAGTCATATATAGCGTCCGTATGAGATGTCTATATTAGAGATGGGTAACTCAGGAAAGATAGATACAAAAGATATGAATCAATCCGTTTCCATCAATCACTCTTTATATCCATCCGCATCCGAATGTATCACTGTATCAGTGTATCTTTACAACTTATTCACTCAAGGCGTCTTTTAACTTTTATATCTAACATCTGTGTCGTACATTGCGCACGCTGCTTTCTATTACACCTCGGCCGGCGTGGCCGGCCATTCCAGGAAGATTTCGAAGTCCATAGTACAGACGTTTCTTTCGCAGCTCACTATTTAGAATGTTCTGTCGCGCTTTGGCAAGACGGAGAGAGTGAGTTGTTTGACCATTATAAATTGTAATACGTTGGCACAAAAAGGTAAATTGATACCTCTATGACTGGTGCATAGGGCTTAAAGTCATTAAGCGGTACGCTAACATTTAAGTATTATACTGGTTTAAACTGTACCTATGTGTATTTTGCTTATGAATTTTTTAGTAAACAATGCAAACTAGTTTCGGTTATAAAACCATCGTTTTTAAGAAAGTTTTATAACCGAAGTAGTAGTCGTTTATATCCATAAAAAAACGGCCAAGTGCGAGTCGGACTCGCGCACCCAGGGTTCCGAACAAATCCGTAGGTATATAAGTTCAAAATTATTAAAAATGCTCTACTTATGTTATATACGTTAATCATTTATTTAATTATTATTTTAAACTAAAAATTTAAGTAAAAGTTTCGAATAAGTGCCTATTAATATTTATCAATAATAATAATAATAGCGCTCGCTGTAAGTTTCACAGTACGCGAGCAACCCGGGTTCGATCCCCGCCGGCACCAATGAAATTGTCAATTGCAATTTTAAGTGCTGATTTACCACGTGTTCGGCGATGAAGGAAAACATCGTGAGGAAACCTGCATGTCTAATAAGAAAACTTTAATTTTTTGATCATAACAAATAGATACCTAGAAAGAAACAGCAGCCAAATATATCAGAAAGATAGACATGGGCGATGTGTATCACTTAAAAGAAAAGATTGATATTATCTTTTGATCACTAGGATATGTATCACTCTTTTATATCTTTATATCCTTATGTATCAGTAGATCAAGCTCGCGTTCGCGACAAGCATCGCATTACATTGCGTTGCTCACTCAGCGTGGCTCGCTTCGCTCAACTCAATCCTATCAGTAAGAGTGATAGATACCTATCAACCTATATAACAGACCTATAGAACTGTTTGCATTTTGCTTGGTCGTAACTTTGTGAATCTTTCTGATATATTTGGCTGCTGTTTCTTTCTAGGTATCTATTTGTTATGATCCAAAAAATTAAAGTTTTCTTATTAGACATGCAGGTTTCCTCACGATGTTTTCCTTCATCGCCGAACACGTGGTAAATCAGCACTTAAAATTGCAATTAACAATTTCATTGGTGCCGGCGGGGATCGAACCCGGGTTGCTCGCGTACTGTGAAACTTACAGCGAGCGCTATTATTATTATTATTGATAAATATTAATAGGCACTTATTCGAAATTTTTACTTAAATTTTTAGTTTAAAATAATAATTAAATAAATGATTAACGTAAATAACATAAGTAGAGTATTTTTTAATAATTTTAAACTTATATACCTACGGATTTTTTCGGAACCCTGGGTGCGCGAGTCCGACTCGCACTTGGCCGTTTTTTTATGGATATAAACGACTACTACTTTGGTTATAAAACTTTCTTAAAAACGATGGTTTTATAACCGAAATTAGTTTGCATTGTTTACTAAAAAATTCATAAGCAAAGTACACATAGGTACAGTTTAAACCAGTATAATACTTAAATGTTAACGTACCACTTAATGACTTTAAGCCCTATGCACCAGTCATAGAGGTATCAATTTACCTTTTTGTGCCAACGTATTACAGTTTATAATGGTCAAACAACTCACTCTCTCCGTCTTGCCAAAGCGCGACAGAACATTCTAAATAGTGAGCTGCGAAAGAAACGTCTGTACTATGGACTTCGAAATCTTCCTGGAATGGCCGGCCACGCCGGCCGAGGTGTAATAGAAAGCAGTGTGCGCAATGTCCGACACAGATGTTAGATATAAAAAGTTAAAAGACGCCTTGAGTGAATAAGTTGTAAAGATACACTGATACAGTGATACATTCGGATGCGGATGGATATAAAGAGTGATTGATGGAAACGGATTGATTCATATATTTTGTATCTATCTTTCCTGAGTTACCCATCTCTACAGAAAGATACACAAAGTTACGACCAAGCAAAATGCAAACAGTTCTATAGGTCTTATATATAGGTTGATGGGTATCTATCACTCTTACTGATAGGATTGAGTTGAGCGAAGCGAGCCACGCTGAGTGAGCAACGCAATGTAATGCGATGCTTGTCGCGAACGCGAGCTTGATCTACTGATACATAAGGATATAAAGATATAAAAGAGTGATACATATCCTAGTGACCAAAAGATCCATATCAATCTTTTCTTTTAAGTGATACACATTGCCCATGTCTAGTCTATAGACTCATCGGACATATAAAAATTATGTTCCTCAATAAAGTAAGAGACGACAGAAGGAATTGAAAACATTAAGGTTAAAGTGAAAACTTTACTCATATTTTTAATAAAGTCAAACCATAGCACGACTCTAAATATACGTGGCTCCATCTAGTTACTAGCATACGTGACAACAAACAATGAGCAACAAAGCCAAACACAGTTGACTTAGAAAATTTCTTGGAAAAGACACAACTAGATTATTCTTTGATCAATTTATGTCAATGATAGTGATCTTTTTACTTATTGGTTTAGATATTATCTAAACAATTTACTTTAAAAATTCATCGATATCCAGCTCCACTCGGGATTCCTATCTTAAACAAAAGATAATTGTAAGTGTAAAAAGATAATTATACGATCAATATAATTTACAAAGTAAGAAGAAATCCCATTTCGACAAAAAAAATACTAAATTCCGGTTTTGTCTTACGATAGCTGAGTAAGAACTTTATAATCTTACGGTCACTAGATGTCGCTAGGAATTATGGTGCATTTATATGTTACGCAGGATCATACATTGTTACCAATATTGATAATAATATTTTCGGTTTCTAGTGCATATAAACAAAATAATGCGTCAGTGATGCGTTCTTAATTTTTAATACATTTCTAACTTATTATAATTTTTCATTAAATTCTAATCTAACATATTATTATTTCATATCATTCCAAAGTGGCTCCGCTCTGGCAGAAAAAGTTATGTATGTGCTCATTGAATGAGGGCTAATAATTTTCTGCTCACTAGATGACGTTAGTTGACACTGAGGTAAAGTTTTTATTACACGATTTCATTTAACTGAGAAGTTAGTTTTTAATAACGTTTTTCAATTTCTAGAGTTTTATATTACTACACAAAACAATGGCTCAGTGGTTTGCTCTTTAATTTTTTGCACATTTTTAACTTTTTTTTTAATTTTTCTGCTTTTATGAATATCTTTGGTTTGGTTCATTTATTTTAATGTAATTAATATAAAATATAACTAATAGTACGTAAAGAAACATTAACCAACGAAATTTCAATATGAAATAAGCAGTGCCTTTGTACAAAATATCTTTTTTTTTTCTCTTCCTTGTAACATTATTTTGTGTGTACATAAATTGTTAAATAAATAAATAACCTTTACATTTTCCGAACAAATTAACTTCCCCGCTATATAAATTTGTCAAAAATATTGTTACGAGCTTGGGGTTCGAGACAATTAAAAACTGCCGATTGAATTACCAAAATTGACACTTTAATTACACAACACTAATTACAATCTAAAATCACACTAATAATAAAACACAGTTCGCCTTTATTTCGCTTCGAAGTATTCTCTTGTATCGCCAATTCAATACTGTCCCGGTCGTGGTCTATACCGGCCTTATATAGGGCCTCAGCTAGTTTCCAGAACCTTCTACTGTAGCGACATCTAGAATGTACGAGTACATATCGGTCCCGAAATTTCTGGAAGGATCTCGACACTCCTAGTTCTGCTACTCGACGCTAGTGTAACTAGTGTTGCCATGTACAAGACATTAATAGTGGCGCGCAGCACTTTCTTTTACTCGACACTAGAGGGCGCTAGTGTAACTAGTGTTGCCATGTACAAGACATTAATAGTGGCTCGCAACACTGCCCCCTCCTAAGACATGCTCGTCCCGAGCATTATTGGCCCCATAATAACGCGCCAGTCGATCCACATGGACAATCTTAGGAGTTCCTCTGGCACCTTTCTGTATCCGGTAGGTTACGTCATTGATCCTTGTCACAATCCGGTACGGTCCGTCCCATTTAGCTTGAAGCTTAGGAGATTTCCCTTTGCTGCGAACTGGATTGTGTAACCACACTAGTGAACCTTCACCCTTGTTGTTCATTTTGCGGTCATACCGTGTTTTCATCTTCTCAGACGTTTGATGGCCCGTCTGTCTGACGTGCTCATAAATGTCATTCAGTTTGTTCCGCAATTCATTTGCATAATCGGTTATACTGTGTGGCGCATCAGGTGGTATTCCGGTGATCAGGTCTGCAGGCAGCCGTAATTCTCTCCCAAAGTTTGCGAAAGCTGGCGTCACTGATGTACTTTCGTGAACAGCGCTTCGATATGACAACAAAAACGGTTGTATGTGCCTGTCCGAGTCTCGTTGCCGTTTTTCCACAACTTTTGCCAGGTACCTTTCCAATGTCTGATTAAATTGTTCTACCATTCCATCAGATTGTGGGTGGTAAGAAGTTGTTCGTGTTTTATGAGTACCCATAACTCTGCAAGTTTCCTGGAATATTTGAGACTCGAAATTCCTTCCTTGATCGCTGTGAATCTCTAAGGGTACTCCAAAACGACAGAAGACTTCATTAACTAGTTTATCTGCAACTGTTGAAGCTTCTTGATTTGGAATGGCGAAGACTTCTGGCCACTTAGTGAAGTAATCCATCACAACCATGAAATACTTGTTACCACTTTCACTTTCCGGAAACGGCCCCGCAACGTCAATGGCTATCCTCTCCCATGGTGCACCAACATTGTACAATTTCAATGCGCCTCTACTACGAATTTGAGGTCCCTTTACAGCCGCACAACTTGTACATTTGCGGCACCAGTCCTCGACATCGTCACGACAGTGGACCCAGTAAAACCGTTCTCGGATCTTCAGTAGAGTTCGTTTAACTCCCAGGTGGCCTCCTGAACAACCACTATGGTATAGCTGTAGAACATCCGGTACTTTAGCCTTAGGGACAACCATTTGTAAATGACAACTGTCTCCCCGACCATTTTCCCATTTACGGCACAGGACTTCATCCTGAATCAACAAGCTGTCCCATTGGGCCCAATAGCTTTTCGTGGTCGAACTCATTGCTGAGACGTCGCTCCACTTGGGCTTAGGAGCACTGGCCTTCATCCATTCCAGAATCGGCTTAATGTCCGAATCTCCCTGCTGTGCATGTTGTAGGCTGTCCTTCCACTCATTGCTGAGCTGGTCTGTCCTGAGCATTCTCACAGATACCACTTCCTTACCCTCTTTCCTAGTACAATGCTTGCAATCTTCAGGGCAAGGTCATCTTGACAATGCATCTGCATTGCCATGAGATTTCCCGCTGCGATGTTCGATCACAAAGTCGTATTCCTGCAGTAGTTCAATCCATCTCGCAACTCGTCCTTCCGGATTTTTGAACTGCAATAGCCATTTCAGTGCAGCATGGTCAGTTCGTAAGTGGAATTTCCGCCCTAGAAGATATTTCCTAAAATGCTGCAAGGACTTTACCACAGCAAGCAATTCCAGTCTTGTGACACAATAGTTCCTTTCCGGCTTTGACAACGACTTGCTGAAGTACGCTATCACAATATCTTTATCACCATTCCGTTGAGACAACACACCGCCAAGTCCTATATCACTTGCGTCTGTGTCAACTATGAATTCCTTGCCCGCATCAGGGTACCCCAAAATAGGTGTTTTGCATAGACGGTTCTTGAGCTCCTGGAATGCAAAATCGCAACTTTCATCCCAGCAGAAATGTCGCTTCTCCTCGGTTAGCTTGTGCAGAGGTTTGGCTATATCTGCAAAGTTCTTCACAAATCGCCGATAATAAGAGCACAAACCCAAAAATGCTCTAACCTGTGTCTTGTCTTTTGGGACCGGCCACTCCTTGACAGCAGCAATTTTCTCTGGATCCGTGCGGATACCTTCTTACGATACTAACTTGCCGTTTGAATAGTGAGCACTTCTTCGGACTCAACTTGAGGTTGGCACTCTGGATCTTCATGAGCCCGCGTTCCAGGTTTTGAAGGTGTTCCTCAAACGTACGGCCTACGATGATGATGTCATCCAAATAGACCAGACAGGCATCTCCAATTAGCCCGGTAAGTACAAGCTCCATCAACCTTTCAAACGTTGCTGGAGCATTGCACAATCCAAACGGCATGACTTTAAATTGCCACAGACCCTTTCCTGTGGAGAATGCAGTTTTCTCCTTGTCCTTAGGGTCAATTTCAACCTGCCAGTAGCCACTTTTCAGGTCCAGCGTACTAAACCACTTTACGCCGGTAAGCATGTCCAGCTTGTCATCAATTCTTGGCAAGGGATAGCTGTCCTTCTTCGTAACGTTGTTCAGGCGGAGGTAGTCAACACAAAACCGCATGCTGCCATCCTTCTTCTTTACCAGCACCACAGGTGAACACCATGGACTAGATGAAGGTTCAATAACACCATCCTTCACCATTCCCTCAATCATGGTTTGCACTTCCTTTTCACGTGCTACAGGCAATCTCCTTCACCACTGACGAATAGGCAATTCTTCTCCTGTGTTTATTTTGTGTTGAACTAAGCCAGTCTTTCCTATGTCAGCTTCGTTTGACGAGAAAACATTGACGTACTTGAGTAACTACTTCTTCGCCTTGACCATTTCATTCGGGGAGAGAACGCTGCGACAGTTTTCTAAAAGTGTGGTCACTCTCGTTTGTCCATCCTTGCTGGGGGTTCCAGTCGATAGATATTCGCACCGACGCAACCAATCCACTTCCTCACTAGTACCAACCAATGTGCCTTTTTCTATAATCTGTTCCTGATCACAAAGGTTCAACACACGTACTCCTGAGATGTCGGTGGTTCTGACTAAGGTTCGAGCCACTTTCCATGGAAGGTCATTGTCTACCCTTTCCACGAGTACACAACGATGAGCTTGCCCAAGACTCCGAGGAAGATTAACCGGCACAATCGTTTCCGATCTCGGCGGAAGAACAATCTTCTTAAGGCTGTACACATTCCCTGGTAACGCCCCTTCCACGAAAAGTTCCTCTTGTCCACATTTCAAAACACCTTGTTTAACGTCGATTTCACAACAATTCTTCCTCATAAAGTCTAGGCCCAGGATGCAGTCGTCCATTATATCAGCCACGATGACATTATGTAGGTAGATCATGTTGCCTAGCTTCAACTCCATCTCCTTCTCTCCACGAACGGGTATGCGCTGACCGGTGGCTGTCACCAAATTAATGCGTTCGCGGTTGTATGCGGAGTCCCCAAGGAACTGACTTATAAGTTGTGAACTGACAACCGTGCGAGAGGCTCCAGTGTCTATGGTCAGTTTACACGGTGTTCCGTTGGCCTCGCCCTTGATGATCAGGCTGTTCCCATCACGGGTTTGTGAGATCGAAATTCTTGGGGCTCTTTTAACATCAGCCAGCACCCGCCAGTTTCCCTGCTGCTGCTGGGCGGTGCTGTCAGCCACACTACCCTCTCGAGATCGATCATCTTCCCTTTCTACAGTTCGTTTAGGACAGCTGGATCGAAGATGGCCCCTTTCCCCACAGACGTAGCACCTAGGGCTGTATCCGTTGTTGCGGTCCCGAACTGTAGCTGCTGCAACCTCCCTGACGCGGTGGGAACGATGATCCTGCCGCACGGCTTCCACCTCCAGTGCATGGGTCAAGGCGTCCTTAAGCGTCTCGTGGTGCCCGAGCCTCACAGCAGCTCTGACTTCAAGGTCGCGGATGCCGTCGATGAATGTCTGCACCAGGTTCCCTACAATGAGCGCAGGTACAGACTGGTACGCTTTTCGAACCAGCTTCTCTACCTCAAGGGCCCACTGCTGCAGGTTTTCGTTACTGCGTTGCACGCGATCTTTGAGCTGCGCACGAATGACGTGTTCCAGGTGAGCATCGCCATATCTCGCCTCCAATGCCTCAAGGAGCTGCTCGTAAGTCACTTCCTTACCGAGAGCTTCCAGAACAGTTAAGGCCTGGTCGCGTAGGCCTAGGGTGAGAGCAGTCATGGCCTGACTTATATTCCAGCCGTTCGCTTTCATGACAGCCTCGAACTGGATTTTGTAGGCCGACCAGGAAGAAGTCCCGTCGAACGGCGGTACTTTGAATCCACGTAGCGAAGGTGTTGTAGCTACCACGGGAGCTGTAACTCCATCCCCAATTTCGAGGTCATCCAGCGTTTTCTTCATGTCTACCATCACGTTGTCAACCCGATTGTTCACTTTATCGATTCGGGTTTCAGCTTCCGACAGGCGGTTGTCATGTTGAGCAACTCTATCCTTCACCTCCTTTATCTTTTTCCCGAAGGTAGCATGAAGGTCCTTCCTGAGGAGCATCTGCTCTTGCATACCGCGCTGCAGCTGCTCTTCCAACCGACAGGTCTGTTCCTCCTGTCGGCGGGCCTGTTCCTCCTGTCGGCGGGCCTGTTCCTCCTGTTGGCGAGCCTGATCCTGCAGCATCATCATCAGAGCACCTAAGTCAGGTGCTGCAGATGCAGGAGCTGCTGACGGGCCGGCCTCCGTGGTTAGCAGCTGGCCCTCCGACGTTTGCGGCGTTGCATTACCAAATCATCTCTGGTCCGTCTCCTGTTGGCGTTGACTTCGGGTACGGATACCCTCTGTGTCGTCTTTAGGTAAAATCGGCATATTTGATCCCACTTCTGACACCAATTGTTACGAGCTTGGGGTTCGAGCATAGATTACCTCCTAATAGATTCCGCATACAGGGCCACAAACGCGCGCAACACATACTTGCTGTAGCTAGCATACGAAGCCAAGCTAAGAATCACGACATCAGTATCGACCAAGTTTGTGATCCGTAGGCACGTCCGAGTTCTTGACAATTTAAAAATAGTTTTGTATCCAAAATACATTACAAATGGCTTCCTGTGCAGTAAAATGGTGTGACAAGTCAGCTAAGACATACAGTTATCAAAAAGATGGCATAAATTTTAATTGGTAAGTAAATTCTATTTTTATCACGTTAACCTATTTCAAATGCACCGGAGATCAACTTATACTGGTATATTAATGGTGCAAAGTGATAACAATTAAGCACCCGTTGATGTCTTTTTGAAATGTCCCTTTCACTCGTTACGTAAATTACAATATTTGTCTTTGTCTAACAACAGCACGTGTATCGATAGTGTTGTGATTTTTAAGTCGATATTTGTTTGGTCATCGTTTAATTATTTTTTTCGAAGTCATATTATTTTATAAAATTAGTGACGTATCATTGTGGTACCTATATGTAATAGGTTTCCTAAATGCCCCGAAAGGAAAAATGATGTGGATCGACGTAAATTGTCGAGGGGACGAATGGTTTCCCATCAAAAATAGTGTACTATGCTCAAAACACTTCACAGAAGACAATCTTCATAATATTATGAAAAATCGTATAAAGCTGTTGGATTCTTGCCAGTTTTGGTATGGACTTTTGCATTTTTTTTAGATTAGTACTAACGTAGGTTACACAATAATATCATTAAGTGGTTGAGTGAAACATGATATTCTTATATTTAGGTAAATGTTACACGTCGAAATCAAGCTATTTTGAACGGATTTATAAATCATAAAACTTGTAAAAGTTATAATGTGATTATTGTTTTGACTTGGTATTTAGTGTTACATGAACTTCAGTATTATCTTATTATGATTATTAAGTACATCTAAATTTGGAAGACGTGCCGTATGGTGTATTAATTAATAATACTATATCGGTAATGTTTTAAAAGAAACGAATATGTATTTCTGATTTAGATTACTGGTTCACCGCTGAAAGACGCGAAAAATCCGCCAACACCTAAAAACCAGAGTCATTGCCTACAAAACAAAAAAGAAAATTTTCTCCTATACCTGATACGCCATCTGCATTTGATACTCCAGTTAAAAACGTCTTTGTAGAAGAATCATTGAATTAACCAACGTAATGAACAAAAAAGATAAAAAAGTTAAAAAGTTAAGTGATTCCAACAGAAGACTAAAAACACAAATAGTTTCTTTGAAGTCATTATTGGTAGAATTAGAAAACAAAATTCATTAGCAGCGGAAAACAATGACGCATTAAGTTCCTTAGAAAAATCAAAATCTAGAAAATCAGGCAAAATTGTTAGAAAAAAATAATCACCACAATTAAGAGCTTTTGCACTCACCATAAATTACTCAGCTAGGCTTATAATTATGTACGCAAAACATTTAATACTTCTTTACCTTCTGTAAAAACACTCGGAAAGTT